TTTTTGTTTTTTTTTTATTTTTAAGGCTCCAATGGGAATTCTTTCTACCCCAGAGGCTTTCAATTTGTGGTAGCTGGCTTGTTCTTGTTTTCCCTTTGGAGTGTGTGTTTTGTTTGGGGCTTTAAATTTTTTCCCTCCAGTCCAAAAATGGATGGAAAGGACTGGGAGGGCTGTGTCCAGTCCTAATGGGGGGGTGTTTTACTGTAGGACATCAGAGGCTTAAGTACTGCAAAGCCTTTCATATTGTGATTTATTTGTCATAAGCAAATAAAATGCGGTTAAGCTGTCTCCTTCTAGACAGACGGCTCTTTGGTTATTAAAGTTCCGAGAGGATTCTGCGAGGCCGGCCTCTTTCCTCCCTGCATTCAAGAAGGTATCACTTTCCTCTGAGGTGTTTAAGGCTTTAATGAGTCTAATTTTTTGCACAGATGTTTCTGGGTGTTTGCAGGTTTTCAGAGTATTTTTATATTACAAAGGAGCCAGCCAGTGCCATAGCTCAAACTCTGACAAGCAAATAGATAATCAAGAAGACAAATGGCCTCTTTTGTGAAGCCCTGCTCCTGTATTAATTTTCATTTTCTTTCTCATAGAAAATATCGAAAGTATGACTAGGACCAAATAGCTGTCTGTCTCTGAGGTCCCAGTCACCCTTAGAATGGAGTGGGGGAAGGGGAAGGGGTGCAGGTGATCCTCAGAAAGTTCTTCCAGGCTTGGGTCAGTTTTGTGCAACACAGCCAAGAAGTTCTAAGGTTTGGCCCTCTAGCCTTGGGGTCCCTGTTCTTGGAATGGCTCAGGGTGCAGCCCCACTGCCTCCAAGAAGCTCTGGGCTCTAGAGGACATCCGCAATTAAAAGTTATTTTGTTTTTTGCTTTGCTTTATTATTTTGGGGTATAAAATAAAGAGCCAATCTTGCCAATCCCATCCACACATTTTACTGTTGTTTATTTTGCATTCCTCCTGTTTGCCTGTGAGGGTGACTGGAGTCTGGGTAGGATCTGGGCCAGGATCCCCAGGGCGGCTGAATTGTCCATTTAAATGCAACCAGGAGATTAATAAAGAAAAAATAAAATTACCCGGACTTGGAGGAGGATAACGGAGTTAGCTTTGTTTCAGTTAGATCATGGTGTGATGTTTTAGCTGTAAGGGATGTGACAACCCTTAGTTGAGGGGGAAAATCATTCTTAAAAAGCATAAGGTCTCCCCCAGGAATGTCTGTAAAGAGCCAAATCAAAGCTGCTTCTTGGAAGGTATGAATAGAATCTTAAAAAAAAAAAAAAAGATTTCTATGGAGCTTAAAGTTCACAGCCATTCTGTGTAGACAAGAGCTAAGAAAAATGTGAGAATTATACAGAAAACCATTAATCACTTCTTTTCTTTAAATACGTATCCTCTCTCCTTTGTTATTCAACAGCAAATCTCTGCAGACCGGCTGTTGGGGGAAAAAAGTGTTAGCGATCTCTCCCAGATCTACGAGGGGGAAAAATTTGGAACCATAAAGTTGAAAACTTTTTTCTCTCAGTTTGGAAGATGCCTTTCGTCAGGAATGAGACCAGCGGAGCTTGGGGGAGAGCAGGCAAGAGGCGCAAAAGGTAACAAAGCCGGGCCTGAGACGGCTTTTCTTTTCTTTCTTTCTTTTTTTTTTTTTTAAATTATTTTATGAGCTCCTTTCACAAGCAAAGAAGAAACACTCTCATCTCTTTTCCAACTATCTTTGTGGGGTTTTTATGGTGGATGCTTGGGCAGGTTTGCTGCCTTTTATGGTGACTGATGTTTAGGGGAGGGAGGGCCTAGACACCTGGAGTGTGTTTGAACTGGTTAGGATGGAGGTGTCAGGGCCCCTGAAAAACACCAGAGAAGATTGTTTGTCAGGCAGTTTAGAAGTGCTTTTCTGGTTTTGGAGAACACAGGCAGGCATGGAGAGAGTGCACATGCGTGTGTGAGTGTGTGTGTGTGTGTGTGTGTGTGTGTGTGTGTGTGTGTGTCTAGCAAAGTGTTTGTTCTGTTTACCGGTGAGATGTAGACACTGCTGCCTCCTGGAAAAATGGAACCGAGTTCTTGGATGGAACCCCCGAGCCTTGGAGCCGATATAAGTGGATATGGTCAGTTTTCTTCTTGTGTCTAGCTGGGATTCTAGACAATCTTTGTTTTCTGAAACCCAGAAACAACTCAGGGCCAGGTGCCTTGACACAGAAATTCCTTTCTGCTCTGCCCCAGGGGCCTTGTCCTGGAGGTTCTGTGTTCTGCCTGTTTTCCTTTTGCTTCTGGGTTTGGGGGCTCCATTCTCTCTCTGGGGCCTTACTTCTTAGGCAGAGGGAATCAGTGCACTCTGCATCAGACCTGAATGTGCTAGCCTTTTTTCCCTGAGGCCTCACTTAGAGTTTGGAGGCGGGAGGCTGGCAGGAGAGAGAGTTCATGGAGAGGCCATGTTTTCTAGGCGATTAGCTCAGTATTAGAACCACAAAATGACCTCGGAAGCCCCTTGACCTCTCTTAGACTGGACATTGTGCTAGCTCTTGCCTCCTGCCCCAGAGAGAAAGTCACACCTCTTCAGGGAGGGGTCCTTGGGCTTCTTCTCCATCCCACTATAGTCCTCAAACCCTTATTTACTACCTTGAAATTTCTGGATTGTTTTTCTGTTACTGTTGATGGGAAGAAAAGGAATATAAAAAGAAATGTTAGCTCCAAAGTCCTGTGAATGGGGAGTGGGTGCTGGTCTGTCCACATAGAGCCTTTCCCTAGGTTTGGCTTCAGCCTCCTCCCCCATCCCATGTCCAGTTGCATCTTTCCTTTTCAGTTTTTCTTGAAGGAAGCTGAGGGAGACAGACAAGAGGATAAGACATGAGAGGTTAGATGGATTCAATTCATGGGACTCTAAACCATCAGAGGAATAAGCTTCTGAGTTGTATGGAGAGGAATGCTCCCACCACGGAGCATTTCTTTAGAGATTCCTCTTTTTCACTCTCTCTCATATCCAAATTTAGTATCTCAAATCACCCCTTTTCTGAAGTTCCTTTGTTTGGGAAGCTATTTTGGTAATCACCTTTACCCCACCCCCCTTTCCCATTCCACTCAGCTACTCACATGGTGTTTGGATACCTCATCCACCAGAGGAGCAAAGACTTGGTGCAGGTTGCTCTGACCACTTCCAGGGCCCACTTTACCAAGTTTGCAGATGAAAGATTTGTTAGGAGGGGAACCCTGATCTTTGAATGCTTCTATATTATTGTCTTCTGTACTAAAAATCTGTGTCAGCAACACTCATCAGGAGAGAGGGAAAGGAGGGAGGGAGGAAGGGAGGGGTTGAGGGATTGAGCTCAGGTTGGGAAGAAAGGCTCCCCTTAAATTAGATCCAGAAGAGGTAGAACCTTTTTGGAGAATGTGTGAGGTGTTGGTTTGCATTTTATAAATTATTTCCTGTAATTTGGGGTTATCATCTCAGATAAGAAATAACTGAAGTGATTGGCATTTTCTTTGTCCTTGGGTGGCATAAATGGGGGAAACTGGAGGTCTCAGGAAGGATGGGAGCAGAAAGGCAAGCCAGCTCCCTTCTGGATTGAAAATATTTGGGGCTTGTGGTTGATGAGTGTTTATTGTCCACAGAGGGCCCTTTTTAGGCCCAAATGACAAGGAACTAGTCACCTAGAACTTTTATAAACTGTTCTCTGCAGTTTGGGGGTCCACCAAAAGTAAAGAGGAGGGAAAGACTGGGCTTCATTAAAGGGCTTCATTCCCCCAGGTTCACAGTGCAAGATCCTCCCCTTTCTCTTACTTTCAGAACCAGACCTTTTTGGAGCTGACAGCTGCTGGGATCACTTTCTACAGTTCTAGGGGCCACCAGTCGTGGCTTTCCAGTCTTTTCACTTGGGCCCTTTGCACTCCTCTTCCTCCCAGCCAGCCTGGGCAGAGGAGGCTGAGATAGGAGTCCCACTCTAGCGCTGGAGGCGCCTCCGTGCCCGCGGTGGGTCTCCCAGGAAGCGGTGGCTGGGGAGCGGGTTTGATTGGAAAACGGAGTTGGGAAGTTTCCCAGCGTGAGTTGAGCGCTGACGGATTTGTGATCGGTCATAAAACCCTGCGCGTTCAGATTCGTAAATCAATCTCGTTTTTTCTCACAGTCTAAACGTTCGCTTTATCTGCAGCAAAAAAGCGCTCAGCTCGCGTTCTCGGGTGCTTGTTTATTTGAACATGGACATTTCCCAGGATCTGAAAAGTGTGTGCACTTTAACAGAACCTGCTAGGCTTTGTCTCCCTGTCACTTTGCCCTTCTTTTTCTCATCCTTAAAAATAAATTCTGTTTTAAGGAATACTATTCTCTCTCTCCCTCCCTCCCTCTCTTCTCCCCGTCTTCCTCCCTTTTTCCTTCCCTCTCTCATTTGTCATCGGGGGATCATTTTCTTTTTCAATGGATTTGTAGCTAGGACCTTGTAAACAGTTGCTCTCGCAGGAGCCGGGAGCAGGTCCACATCAGCATCAGGCTGTGTTCAGTATTCGTACAATCGACTCCCCCCCCCACCCCCACAGAGTCGGGGCTCCGCTGGTGCCCCCACCCTATGGGGCCGGGGCAGGATTCCAGTACCTTCTGCAGGGGTCCCACTGCCTCTGGACCCTCCGAAGCCCACGTGGGGAGGCTATTTAATTGGGGTGTGTTAACCGTAGAGGTTCTCCACCTTCTCCTTACTGAATCATTTTTTGGTTCAGCATCTTCCAAGTTCAGATTCGTAAATCAATCTCGTTTTTTCTCACAGTCTAAACGTTCGCTTTATCTGCAGCAAAAAAGCGCTCAGCTCGCGTTCTCGGGTGCTTGTTTATTTGAACATGGACATTTCCCAGGATCTGAAAAGTGTGTGCACTTTAACAGAACCTGCTAGGCTTTGTCTCCCT